GATGTTTCCATTCTGTAAACAAGAATGAAACGTGATACCTAAAGATAATAAACTTACAGTGAAGCAAAGAGTGGAACGTGAAACCTTGCGTGGAGCCCGGACTCCTACTCACTCGACAGGCCGGAGCTGTTAAAGCGCGGTTCCAGAACAGCCTGCGCGGGACGTGGGGGAGCCGCGTCCCACCGAAGCGCGGGCCCCGGTCCCGAGCGCCGGCCGCCCGGCCTCGGCGGGAGGCGGGAGGCGGGGTGGACCTCCGTCCGGGCCTACCCAGGCAACCGCCGGCCCCGACCTGCTTCCAGAACGACCCGGGCAAGGCTGGGTGCCAGGCCCTGGGGAAGCTTGCGAACGGGAGGCCGGGCCCGGAGACTCGCTCTGCCAGGGAGGGGCGCGCACGGGGCCGCGCTGCGCCTCACAAGGGAACGGTCCCGGGCCGTGCCCGCGCGCGCCGAGGGCACCCACGGGCCCAGCCGATAGCGCGGCAGGGCGCGAGCGCCGGCCGCGGCGGGGTCCCCTCCCACCTGGCCGGGATTCGTGGTTTCCGCGGGGGTCCGAAGGCCTCAGGCCAAGGCGGTGCTTTCCTGGATTCTTCTTTTCCACCGGAGTCTTGCAACTAAACACACGACCACAAGAGGGCAGCACGAGGCCGCACTCCCGCTCCGTGAGGACCATGGCGGGGGGGGGGGGGGGGAGAGCGAGAGGCGCAGGGTGAAGCCCGGGTTAGTTGTTGATGTCCACGCATTTCAAGACCTCCCCCTCTCCATAGTAACGCACTCCTGGGGGCACGACTGGAAAAAGTGGATATGGTATAGAGATAATAGAGTACATTTATAGTATATATTATTAGGTCATATAGTTTAGATTATATAGCATGTTATATATTAATATATGGATGAATATGTATTACTTTTATAGTATACAATATATCATGTCAACTATATGTGTTACGTATTTGACATTATGTATACGGATGCATAAAGGTGCAGAGAGCAGCAGGTTAGACGCATAAACTGAAGAAACCTGAGCCTTTTGCAAACTACAACCCTCACACAAGGCTAATAATAAGAAAATTCACATCCAAGGGGTTTCTTAGTGACAACTGCAAAGGGAACTTCCGGTCTTCAGCAGTGCAGTTAATGTCCCTGTAGTTTTGTGGGGTCTGGAGGAGGTCTGGAAGACAGGAAGAGGCACAGGTGCTACACGCAGGTGCTTTATGGTTGCCCCACACAGAGTAGAAGCAAAGGAAAACTGAGCCTTATTTAACGTCAGAGAATCTTGTTCATTTTACCTAGCTGGTAGCTGGGTGTCCTGAGAGAAATGAATGTGTCTCACTGAGCTGTCCTCTTTTTCTCTCTTCTGGGGAAATAATTCCACTACCTGCTTCTGGCCTGGGGAGGTGGAGCAGGAAATGAGCTCTGGCACGCTGTGGATGTCAGGCTGCGGATGTCAGGCTGCGTAAGGCTACACTAACGGCACTCAGTTTTAAGAGAATCAGCTATGTGCTGTGGGTTATGAATTGGGCCCCTGGTGAGGTTACTGATGAGATGCCCGGGAACCTCTCAAGGGGTTTTGTACTCAAATGAATTCATGAGAAGGGCAGGGTGTGGTGGTGAGTGCCCACCATCCCAGCACTTGCCAAGCCAAGACACAGGCTTGAATTCAAGGCCAGCCTGGACTGAACAGTAACTTTCAAACCAGGTGACTATTGGACTACATAAGAAAAGCCCTCTCTCAAGAAGGAAGGAAGGAAGGAAAGAAGGAAGGGAGAGAGGGAGGGAGGGAGGGAGGGAGAGAAGGAAAGGGATTCCAAACAGACCAGATATTAAATATAAGATATTAAACTATCTAACTTAAAATAGGAATTTTTTGAAAAAATAATTTAAAATCCCAAACAACAGTTCAGGAAAGAGGAAAAAATGGATAAAATCAAATTATTGCAAGTAAGCTTTTGCTCGTGATATTTTTGGTCGTGCAAAGACCAAAAGAAAAAGACAAAACTGGGGAGAAAAAAAAAACGTGACTGTAACTTGTTCCACACAATAAAGGTAAACTTGCATAACATATCAAATAAATACTCAGGAAAATTCTAAGCCAGGTACACGGGTACAGACCTGTAGTCCAGGCACTTGGGAGGGTCAGGTAGGAGAGTGACTCTGGCTCAGAAAAAAACGGGACAGCAGAGCAGAAGGAAGAGAAGGGGGAAGAGGAGGGAGTGTCCTCACATAAACAAAACACTAGCACGGTACCTGAAGCCTTACAACTGGACCAGAGGCCATTAGCCCCTCTGACATTAGCTTGAGATAAACCAAGAACATACAGGCTTCATACAGGTTTACCCAGGCACCAGTGGCTCACATGAATCCTAGCTACTTGGGAGGCTGAGATTGGAAGGGTCACTGGTGGAGGTCAGCCTGAGGCTGAGATCCTAAGAATCGAGGTTCAAGGCCAGCTCAGGCAAAGATATTCATGAGAAGAAGCTACAGTTCAGGTATGGGCCAAGAAAAGAGAGACATGCTGTCCAAATAACCAGGGCAAAAAAGGGCAGAGGGAGTGGCTCAGTGGTAGAGTGCCTGCCTGGCACAAAGTAAAAATAAAAACTCTGGCTTAGGTGGGCTCTCATTCCCTGACCACTGTGTAAGCTCTTTTAACAGAAGCCATGAGGATCTGCGGGTCTTGCTGACACCTCGTGTCCACACTTCTGCTAGTGAATCCCCATTAGACACTTCCAAATGCATAGTATGTGTAAAATGTCTCTGAAGATTGGCTTTCATGCAATGGAAGATGATTAGGTTAAATCATTAAGAAGTCAAATCTAGTCCTTAACTGAAAGTTTGTGAGTGTGAAGAAAAGAGATCAAAGAAAAAGAAATGCCCCAGTCTGGACACTAGGGCATTCCCAGAGTCAGCCAGATACCACGCACTAGGGAGTGGTGATTTCTTGTCCCTTTGGAGACAATTGTCACGCCCAATATGTCATTTCAGACACCTACTGGAACAGGACCTCCCTTCCAGTTCTCATCCTTCTCCTGGCTGGGTTCACGCACAAAGCACCGACCACCAACTTACATTTTTACAGACCCTGTTTGTCTTTACTTCCTGCGACCCCAGGACGAGATTCCTCAGTGAATATGCAGATCGCTACCTGTATGGGCCCATGTCTTTCTGAGATGCCTGGCTCCAGAATGCTCCTTGTATCATCTTGTGAAGCTACACACATCTCCCCAGCCTGAGCATGGCTATTCACAGGGC